TGGACAGGTCAAGGAGGCGGGGATGAAGCTAGTAAAGGTGAGTGTAGGTAGGAAGTGGGAGTGGGGGTTGGTCAGTGAGGTGAGAGGACCTCATAGGTGGGAGAGAAGACGGACAGGTCAAGGAGGTGGGGATGAGGGGGGGTGCTGGTCTTGGGATGAGGCCGGGGTGGGGAGATTTTGAAGCTAGTAATGTCCACATTGAGACCATTGGGTTGGAGGCTTCCAACACCTCAGACTGGCAATCGGACAGGGACAGACTTCCCTCAAACAATTCAGCTCAATATATCCCTGTTTTAAAAATGACATTGAATTTACAGAATATTCAACATAATGGTCCATGCCAGTGTTTCATTCCACCCCTTTTCATTCAACTTCATCAAGTTGTTCTTTTCAGAAACAGAAATTGCTGGAAGAAGCTCAGCAGATCTGGTTACATCTGTGGAGAGACATTCAGAGTTAATGTTTCAGGTCCAATGACCCTTCTTCAGAACTCAGTTCTAGACTAGATCCGAAATGTTAACTCTGCTTCCTCCACATAGATTCTGTCAGATCTGCTGAGTTTCTCCAGCACTTTGTGTTTCTTTTTCCTGACTTCCAGTGTCCACAGTTCTTTTTTTTTGTCAAGTTGTCCTTTTATCTCTTTCTCCCTTGCGTTCTTATCCAGCTTCCCTTTGCTGGTGTCAATGCTGTACAATTCACCTCAACAACTCCCTATAGGTGTAGATTCTTCCGTCCCCCAAGTTATTGGGTAAAATTTTCAGCTGAATACCCTAATGATGTTTTGAGGTCTTCCCTAGCTTGATCATTGCCCACATTTGGAAGCAGCTTCTCTACATCTTTTTCCTTAATTTAACCTTTTTCCCCAACCAACCTGTTTAGTGATATTATTACCCACCCTCCGGAGCAGATGGGACTTGATCTTGTGCCTCCCAACCAGGGGTACGGACACTATCACTGCAGCGCAAGAGGGCCCTTCTTTGCATCTACTCTGACAGACTCCTTCACAATTTTGAAGAAAGCTATCAGATCATCCGCTTAGCCTTTTCTATCCTGCAAAAGTCAGTCAGCCATTTAGTCCAGAGAACTGGAATAATGATCCAGAAAGCGTGCATTGGAAATTATATGAACCTAAGGAATAAGAGCAAATCCATTTGGAGGTGAAATGAGAAGGAATTTCTTCACTCAGAAAGTGGTGAAATCTTTGGAATTCCCTACCCCAGGCTGCAATGGAGGTTCAGTTGTTAAGCAAGTTCAGGAGGTTAGTTTGGTTGCAAGAGCAATTGATGCATTAGCACTTTCACTCTGTGTGCACTGCCTTATTGCATAGAAATGATTGCAAATAAAACATGGCCAGAGTTTGCAAACCCACGCTTCATGTATTTGCCTCTTCAATGTCCAACATTCATGGATCCCTCAGTTCTATACATCAAACTGACACTGTCCACCCTGGCCATCAGCCCAGCTACCTTTCAGTTATATTTCACATCGAGAGAATGGCAAGTAATGGTGGATACCATCAGGACTAGCCCCCATCTGGTCACCTGGTACACCCCTCACACACTCCAGAACCTTCATGTTGCCTTTTGTTCTACCCCAATAGTTCATTTCCATTCACCCCAACCTCGTCCTTGTGGAGACCCACCTCATTGAACTTCACCTCCAACTCCACACCCTGCCCCCAAATCCTAATTTTAATGATACTACTTTGCTCCTTTATGCTGAGGCTATGGAAGTGGTGACTGACATTAAATACCTGTCATTTTCCCATGCCCTCTAATGCTCTTTGAGATATGCCCCTAACACCTTGATTTCACCCACCCCATCACTGTCCATGTCCCCACCTCCACTAATGCCCTGCTTTGCCCCTCAGCCTTCACTTCCCCAGCCCTTTTCAGCAGTGATCCCCTCACTGTCCCTACATGCCTCCCTTACAATTGAACAATCAACAGATTGTATTCTCCCCAGACTCTTCACTGCCTTTCTCAAGCAGCTCCTAGACATGACCAGCCAGACCCCTGACTGCTGTCTTGGCAGCTCCCTGGATTGATGAGACGCAGTTCCCCTAACTATTGGAGCTGGACGTATAGCACTGTACTGCCCACTCACCAGACCACTGTTGGACAGGTTCCCTGATGGTGAGCAACCCAAACTGATAACCAACCATGGCCAAGCCCCTGGACTAAGTGCAGAGAATGCCCCTGACTGGCAGGTACCAAGATCCCCTGATGGACAGCGACTGGACTGAGGACTAGACCCCATGCAGTTTCTGAAATGGCTATTTGGTTGAATAAAGGTGCAATATGTTTGCCATGCAGGCAGTTGACACATGCTGTAGGTGTTGGACTGATATCTCAGTGTACCGTAACATGATGTCCCCCTACCATATCCTGGACAGATTACTACTGACAAGTAGCCTGTCTGTAAGGCCGTGGAAAGGAGCACATCAATACGGCAGGACTCACAACTTTGGGCTCTGGATGAAGCACCAAGGTTCAAACAGGCAAGGCAAGGCGATGCCTGTTCGCTATGAGCAAACAGGTAGGCAGTGAATGCAAGAAAGCAAGTGAACAGCTGTGAGATGCAGCCAGGTGCAATCCGGGAGCTGGGTGCCTGTCTGTGCTGCACAGTCTTCCTGCTGCAAGCCTCTCGACGCTATTTGCTGGTGCACCCTGCAATGGAAGTTTAAGTGCCCTGCCAGTGGATCAGAGAAGACGCCATGTTGATCGTTAGAGATTAGCAGGTGTCAGATGCCAGTGTCTGTGATGAAGAGTGGACGTGGCTGGGGCAACATGGAGGCTCCTCACAGTCAGTGGCAAGCTAAAGTCACCAGGTAGCCTGCTCTGATCTCCATGTCATGCTTGGTCAGCACATTTAGTAAGATGTGAAGTTGAATGTTAACGAGGCAAGATAGTGGGAACTGCCAATGCTGGAGAATCTGAGATAACAAGGTGTGGAACTGGATGAACACAGCAGGCCAAGCAGCATCAGAGGAGCAGGAAGGCTGACGTTTCGGGCCTAGACCCTTCTTCAGAAACGTCAGCTTTCCTGCTCCTCTGATGCTGCTTGGCCTGCTGTGATCATCCAGCTCTACACCTTGTTATCTCTGTTAATGAGGCGAGTTGGGCTTTTCACAATTGGCGCTCATCCTCTTTAATTGGCAACTCACCACTGTCGAGTGAGAAACTCACTTTGAGAAAGCATCAAAGATGGATTGAGATGCTCCCAATGTTGAGACAGAGCTTGGTGGGCATTTCATCCAATTCTGCCACAAATCCCAACATAGCCCACGTCTAAGATTCTGATTATTGTTTGGAATCTATTTCCTGTTAATGAAAAATTGCAAGACGTTAGTCAGCTTCCTGCTCTCATTACAGTCCTGTGCTGGTTGCAGCTTTGAGTAGTGGGGCAGAAGCAATTAAATGTGCTTCAGGCATTCAAACTGTCTGAGGCTGTAAATGATTAGTGACATTCAGGCAAACACTGGTGACGCCACAAGTGCACATGAGATTGAGTGAACGGCCATATAAATCCCAGGTGGAGTCCTGAATACGTCAGGATTCTGGAAAGCTGCAACAATCTGGGAGTTCCATTTGATTGGACACCACGCCAGCTCACTCATTTTGAGGATGTATATTTAAACTGTGCAGGAAGTGGCTGTGAAGAGAATAAGAGGGGCCTAGTAAAGGGGAGAGAGATTCCAAGGGAGCAGCTGCAACACAAACAAGAACCTAACGAAAGACTTCAGGAGAGAAGAACAGTTTGGAGATGTGCAAAGGATTTGCCACTTTTCAAGCCTCATGTTTGGAAGGGTAACTTTTCTTTACTGCACCTTCTCACCCAGTCTCTCTGTATCTTTTCTATTGAAGGAAACCAAAACTGTTCTCTGTTGCTATGTTCTTGAAAGATGTATCAGCCCAGCAAACCATGTCTTGGCTTCAGAGCTGTGTGCTGCTGTGTGTTCTTCTAGAGTCATAGTCACAATCTCTTAGAGTCATACAGCACGGAAACAGACCCTTCAGTCCAAACAGTCCATGCTAAACGTAATCCCAAACTAAATTAGTCTCTCCTGCCTGCTGCTGGCCTACATCCCTCCAAACCTTTCCTATTCATGTACTTATCCAAATATCTTTTAAATGTTGTAACTGTGCCTGCATCTACCACTTCTTCAGGAAGTTCATTCCACACCCGAACCACCCTCTGTGTATAAAATTTGCCTCTCATGTCTTTTTTTAAATCTCTCCTCTCACCTTAAAAATATGACCCCTAGTCTTGAAATTCCTTTGGGGATAGAGCAGCTGGCCATGATGGGCTGAATAGCCACCTTTCTTCTGTAAATCTTCCTGGTTTCTATGGAGATGGCAGATAAATACTTGTTGTCAGGTCTTGGATATTATGAAAAAGACTAAAGCTTTTTGTCTTGCACTCATCAGGACAGATGCAAGAATGCCAAATTTTAAAGGATTGCAACAGCTGCAGTAAAAAGGGGTGCTGACTGGGTTGGCAAACTGGCTTGGATTGGCTGAGGTGTTTCCATGGAGAAAGCTGTGATGAAATATAAGATTCCCAAGATGCCAAGTGTTTCAAAAACGGTGCAAGGCTTGAACTATCCTGTTGCCTTCTCCGTGGCAATGTCTTGAATCAATCAGAGTTAACTTGCCAACCAGTCATCGCCTCTTTCCCCATGCTATAAATTGTTATGGTTGAAATTTTGCATTCTTGCATGTGTCCTGATGAGGACAAGGTGATAAACTCGACAATATATCATTTCAGCAATATTTAAGTTCTGTACAACCAAGGGACATATTGTAACTATTTTAGAAACTTTCTATAAATTGTCAACTTCAATTGCTTTGCCTTCGTCCTACACCCGAGCTAATATCAGTTCTGCATACCCAATACCACCTGGGCTAAGATCAAATGAACCAGACCTGGAATTGGATTCAACTGAATAACTCCTCATCTGTCTCCTAGATAAAGGATGATAAAATAATAATAATGTAAAACCTCTGTTGTTGGGGCAGAGGGAGTTGAACTTGTCCCTGGCTCAGACTAACAATAATTCTCTTAATATTCCAGGGCGAAAGAAGTTGGCACTCGACTGGGCTTCCTGCTGGTGAAATCAGAATTCACCATATCCAGGAGTGAGAGACAAGCCAGAATCCTGGGGTGAGTCCAGTAACTAGATAGTGTCAAGCGGAATTGTGTGATGAATATAGAGATGAGTGAAATAGTGTCAGCTGGAGCCATGTTGTTCAATAAATCTCCTTGTTAGACCCCAAGAGACTGATTTGCTACACATCAGCAATTCAACCAATTCCCAGTGGACTGTAATCATGGCCTCTAATAACTATAACAACACCCCTAATAACTGTAGCTGCAGCTCCTGATAACTGTAGCTACAGTACTAAATAACTGTGGCTATAGTGTTAAGTAATAGTGGCCACAGTAATAAATAGCTATAGCCACAGCACCAAATAACTGGTAGCCAAGTACTAAATAATTATAACCACAGTCCCAAATAACTGTAAATGCACCCCTCCAGCTACAGCCTCAAATAACAACACAGCCCTAAATAATTACAGTCATACCCTTAATTAGCAGTAACTATCGCCTGAAATAACTATAGCCACAGACTAGAATAACTGAAACCACAGCTGCAAGTAACTGTAGCCACAACCACAAACACTGCAACCACGCCACAAAAACTGTAACCAGTGCCCTGAACAATAACCCCATCCTATAGCAGCTTAAGCACCTACAAACTTTTAGTCAGCTGTTCACACTATCACTTCCTTTCTCAGTGTCTGAACACCTTTGGATAATCCCTGGTATTGAGGGATTGGTTTATGAGCAAGAGCTAAACAGGTTGGGACTCTCCTCATTGAAATTTAAAAGAATGAGAGGTGATCTTATTGAAACATATAGCATTCTGAAAGGGCTTGACAGGGTAAATGCTAACAGGATGTTTCCCTTCATGGGAGAGTCTAGGATGAGACAGCAGAGTCTCAAAATAAAGGGGCATCAATTTAAGACTGAGATGAAGAGGAATTTCTTCTCTCAGAGGGTTATAAACCTTTGGAACTAATTGTAACTGAGAGCTGTGGGGACAGAGTCCTTCTATATATTTAAGGCTATGATTCTTGATCAGTAGGGGAATCAAAGGGCAGGAAAGTGGATGTGAGGAATGTTGGATCAACCATGATCATATTGAATGGCAGAGCAGGCTCATGGCGCTGAATGGCCTCCTCCTTTTCCTATTTCTCAAGGTTTTATGGGTCCTCTGTCTACATTAATGCAAGGTAAGATTGTTGAGATTGGTGTAAACATGACTAAAATAATCCCATTTGATTCTTTGCTATAGATCCCATGCAGACAAAGCTCTTAAATGGGGAGAATCGCTGGACGAACTGCTGAATCACAAACGTAAGTATGAAAAGAGGAAAGGCTCACTTTTATTCATTACTGGTCTGATCCCTCAGATACATACCCCACTCCCCTCAATAATGTGAATTCTAATGCATCATAATTACCGTTCTGTATGAGGCAAACACCAACAGCCATTTGACACACAACAAGATCCAAAAGCAGATAACACAGTGTGGAGCTGGAGGAAAACAGCAGGCCAGGCATCATCAGAGGAGCAGGAAAGCTGACGTTTCGGGTCGGGACCCTGCTTCAGAAATGGGAGAGGGGAAGGGGGCTCTGAAATAAATAGAGAGGGGGAGCAGTGGTAGCAGGTAGATAGTGGAGCGGATAGGTGAGAGACAAAATGGACAGGTCAAGGAGGCGGGGATGAAGCTAGTAAAGGTGAGTGTAGCTAGGTGGTGGTGGGGATTGGTCAGTGAGGTGGGAGGAGCGGATAGGTGGGAGACCACTACTTACCTACACTCACCTTTACTTGCTTCATCCCCACCCCCTTGACCTGTCTGTCTTCTCTCCCACCTATCCGCTACACTATCTACCTTATCAAGGAATATAGGGATAGTGCTGCTATCGGAAAGATGTTGTGAAACTTGAAAGGGTTCAGTAAAGATTTACAAGGCTGTTACTAGGGTTGGAGGGTTTGAAGTATAGGGAGAGGCTGAATAGGCTGGGACTATTTTCTCCAGAGGCTGAGGGGTGACTTTATAGGAGTTAATAAAATCATGAAGGGCATGGATAGGATGAATAGGCAAGGTCTTTTCCCGGGGTGTTTGAGTCCAAAACTAAAGGGCATACAGAGGACAGTGCGTGTATGGAATGAGCTGTCAGAGGAAGTGGTGAAAGCTGGTACAAGTGCAACATTTAAAAGGCACCCGCTTGGGAGGAATGGTTAAGAGGGATATTGGCCAAACCTATCAGGTCAGCCTGGACGAGTTGGAACAAAGGGTCTGTTTCAATGCTGTACAGCTCTATTAATCTATGACTCTATATCCATCCAAGCATTTCTTACTCATGCACTTATCCAAATGTATTTTAAATGTTGTATCCACCACTTCTTCTGGAAGTTCATTCCACACACAAACCATTCTCTGTGTAAAAAAAAAAAATTGGCAGTCATGTTTTTATTAAATCTTTCTCCTCTCACCTTAAAAATGCCCCCTAATCTTGAAATACCCCACCCTAGGGAAAAGACACCTGCCATTCACCTTCTCTATACCCCTCATGATTTTATAAACCTCCATAAGGTTATCCTTCAACTTCCTTGACTGCAGTGAAAAAAGTTCCAGCCTATTCAGCGTCTCTCCATAACACAAACCCTCTTTTACCAGCAATATCTTGGTAATTCTCTTCTGAAGCCCCACATTACTGTGGGTCTGGAGTCACATGTAAGCCAGACCAGGGAAGAAGGGCAGATTTCCTTCCTTGAAGGCCATTAATGAACCAGATGTGGGGATTGTACAACTATGAGTGTTAGTATTCATTACTAAAGCTAGCTATCAATTTCAGACTTATTAATGGAATTTAATAAGTGTAATTTATTAATGGAAACTGGCTGTTGTGGTAGAATTTGAACCCAGGTCCCAAGAATATTAGCCAGAGACTTCTAGAAGACTGCTATCATCTCCCCTGGCACCTTGTGTGCTCGTATTGCAATGGGATTTATCAATGATTTATCAATATGTGCAAGAGAGGGAATGGATAGTTCCTTCATATGGAAGAAAAGTCAAATTGTCTCTCTGTCTGTTTCCAAGTGGCGTGGCTGCATTCCACGCCTTCCTTCGCTCCGAGTTCAGCGAGGAAAACATGGACTTCTGGCTCGCCTGTGAGGACTACAAGAACACAAAGACCAACTCCAAACTCATGCTCAAAGCCCAGAAGATTTATGACGAGTTTGTCAAGATTCAGGCCCCAAAGGAGGCAGGTTTGCCTTTCTTCTGTTTTGAGCATTGCCTAGTGCATGTATTTTCTTTCATCATCAGTCCACCGTTGATGGAATCAGGGGTCCAGGGGAACAGGGCTGAGGGTTATCAGAGTGGTCAGTGGGCATTGAAGGTGATAGGGAGCTGTGGGAGAGGGGAGAGTCAAGGGTTTTGGAGGAAGCTAGATGGGGTGGGCAATGGGAGGTCAGAGAAACTGGGGAGCTCAATTAGACCTGTACCTCAACTAAGGGTCTCATCCTCCAGCTGAAATCCTTCTATGTTTCACAGTTCCCTATATCTCTTCCTGCCCTATTGGAAGCACCGTCTTTCAGATGAGACATTATACTGAGGCTTGTCCACACTCTCAGACCTAAAAAATCCTGTGGCATTATGTGAAAGAAGAGCAGGACAGTTCTCCCAGGTAAATCAGCTAATGTATCCTTCAAGCAACATCATTAAACAGATTATCTGGCTATTTAAGTCATGTCATTTGCCGTACACTAATTTCAGGCCCATCTTGACATGAGCTAGTGTGTATCAGTAGCCCATGATATGATATTTTAATTTAAAGTTGTAGGTTCCCTTGGAATTTTTTTGGTTTAGTTGCAAGACTCCTTGTTAAGGATTGTCGCCTAAATAATTTGGCCTAATTTGGTTTCATTGTTTCTATCACTTTGCAAAATAGGAGAATAAGGGGCTCCTGTGGCATTGTGGTAGTGTCCCTATCTCTGGGCTAGGTGGCTGGGTAATATTATCTGTGAACAGGTTGATTAGGAGGCAATATAAAGAGACTGTGGAGAGGGACAGGCAAGGACATCCTATTGGGTCAGCTCCTGGACCCAAAAAACGATAGCTTTGAACAAGTCCAGGCAGTGGGATTGTTACACCTGCTGACTGCCTACCTCTTTTCTGTGGTTATGTTCACACCTGTGTGGCCTTGAAGAGACACCAACGGATTGACTATTGGTGCTTTCTAGGCAGCTAGGCACCACCAGGGCTAGTAGGCATCAACTCCCCTCAAAATCACATTCCAGTTTGAGCTATTAAGTTTCCTTTCAGATCTTGATCTTAGTTACAAGTTCCCTTTGAGGTTGGGCCTCCTGTTTAGTTTGGAATACCCAATTTGGTATGATTTGGCCTCAATCTCATCCAAAGCAGAAAACCAATCAACACCTTGAGTCCTGCCTGAATGACTGGCACCTTGGACTAGTTGTCACTACACTGCAGTCAGTTCTCATTGGGAAACTGGAAGCCTGTAGGAAAACATTGACATTTAACAAGACTCTTCACAAGCATAATTGCCTTGGGAGAGATGGGGGTAGGGGGGTAGGGGGCGCGGTTGGGGGGGGGCTTGGTGGCGGTGGGCTTGGGTGGTGGTAGTGGTGGTGGAGGACAGTATTCCAGAGCCTTGAAATTGCCATTTTCTATCTCAGCAGGGAACAGAATCTTAGGCCTTGGGCCTTGGAAAAGCCATGGGACTCTTTCCTACCTGTGAAATAGTAGAAACCACATGGAATCTGTGGGCCCCACAGCCCCCATGGCACTACCTCAGCAAAACAGTCAACTGCTTCAAGGGGAAGGTTGTGCAAGGAGGGAGGTGGTGAGCAAGATGCTGATAGTTTCCTTTACTCATTTATTTTCAGCTGAACCTGGACTCGCTCAGTAGAGAGCTCGTCCTCAAGAACTTAACCAACCCGGACATCTCCTGCTTCGACCCAGCACAGAAAAGGATTCATGGCCTCATGGAGAAAGATTCCTTCCCTTGTTTCCTGAAGTCCCAGTTCTATCTTGGCCTGTTCAAGCAGTCTTAAGAAGGAGGAAGGCTCACGTCCGAGAGAGGAAGGAGAATCATAGAGAGTTCCAGAGACTGTCTCCTGGATGATCCAGTCTTTGGGCCTGGGATTTTCATTCGTCAGGCTTGGCCCTTAAGCCAGGTGACTGACTGAGAAGAGCCACCTCGTTCAATGGGCAGTGTGGAATTGGGGTTGAGCATTGATAAATGGGAAAGAGGGTTTAAAAATGCTGGTTTTTGCACTAGAAGCAAAGCAAAGATCTGCCTTTACATAGGCTGCAACAATCAGGCTTCTGAGAACAGGACATTAAGTCAGGCCACAGAGCATGAGCATTTAAAAGTCATATCCATCAAATATACTCCAAGCTCCACAGTCTCCATTAATGCCTTAGGGTCCATGACCCCAAAGTCTCATGCTGCAACCTTACCAGGGGTCATGACTGACAGTTTGGATTCATCTGAATGAGTTTCCTTATTCTAAATGGGTCAATAAAGGTCACCACTTTCTTCTCTCTCACTCAGTCTTCAACCTTTGCTCAGAGCATATATGATACTGGACTAAAGAAAAACTATTTTTAATATAACGTAGACACCAGGAACTTCAGTTAAAGCATTAAAGTTCTTTCTGCTGGCTTTCCCCATCGTTGCTTTGTCCATTTGATTGTATTTAAACTGGTAGTTTTGGCTCAGTAACCAGTTTATGATCCCAAGCCCCCTCCAGAGATTTGAGCCTAAATGCAGTGCTGAGGGATTGCGGCCTTATTGAAGGTGCTCTGTTGCAGAAAATATGTTAAGCCCTTCAGACCTTCAGATGTAGGAGCAGATGGAGACCATTCAGCCCATCAAGTCTGCTCCCCATTCAATGAGCTCACGGCTGATCTGATAATCTTCAACTCTACTTTCCTGCCTTTTGCCCATAACCGACAATTGCCTATCAGATTTTAAAATCTGTTAAACCTTCTCCACATGCGTGAATAATAGGGGAGTTCTCCCTGGAGTCTTGGATCAACATACGAACCTCAAGCAAGGTCATTAAAACTAACTCTGTTATTTGTGGGAGCTTACTGTGTACGATTTGACTGCCCTTATTTCTTACATTAACAATGGCAACAGTTCAAAAGCTGTGAAAAGCTTTACAGCATTTTACAAATGTGAAAAAGGTCTCTGTCATTGCAGGTTCCTTTCTTGTCGACACATTCTAATTGTAGCGAAGAAGATACGTATAAAGAGCTTGGTAACTTATTGAAACATTATTGCAAGGATAAATACCTGTAAATTGCCAACCAGACTCCGTCTGAGAACAGATACCTATGTAGAAGTTCTCTTTCCCATTTTTAGGATATGGGCTTTGCTGCGAGGATTTGTTGACCGTTCCTAATTGACATTGAACTGAGGGGCTTGCTAAGGCCAGTAAGAGGGCAATTAAGAGTGAACAGTAATGTCGGTCTGGAGTCACATGTAGGCCAGACCAGGTAAGGAGGGCAGATTTCCTCCCTAAAGGGCATTAGTTAACCAGATGAGTTTATAAACAACATGAAAGGACGATGATTTTCACCTCAATGTAACTGGAACTAGCTTTATATTCCAGAGTTACTAATTAAATTTAAACTCCACTGAAGCAAAGGTGGCTTTGGAATCCATGTCCCCAGAGCATTAGCCTGCCATATTGGACTACTAGCCCTGTGACATTATCAGTGTGAGACAATGATAGGATACAAAGCTGTGCTCACAATTTCCCTGAGTGAGTTTGAATGTGTCGCCCTGCAATCCAGCCATATCTCAGTTAAACTGCTTGGAATATGGTTTAAGTACAGCCCTGCTGACTCTCCACTACATTTTGGGAATGGACTGGCCATTTCCTTCTCTTCATCGTGGCTCATCAAACAAATAAAAAGACAGAAAGATTTTTCATTTTTCCTGTTTACAGTCACCAGATGTTTCCAAGTGCCTTGCAGCCAGTGTTTTTGAAGTATAATCAATGTTGTTGTTGTGTCACCATAGTCTTTAGGAACCACAGCGACCAATTGACTCACAGCAACCTCCCACAAAAGTAAGAGACAAAAAGGTGTAGAGCTGGATGAACACAGCAGGCCAAGCAGCATCAGAGGAGCAGGAAAGCTAACGTTTCGGGTCTGGACCCTTCTTCAGAAAAAAGTTTTCTGTGTTCATCCAGCTCTACACCTTGTTACCCTATATAAAATTTGGTCAGAGTCTTTACAAACATGCCAAATTTCCTTAACCTCCTGAGGAAGTAGAGGTGTTGTTGTG